TCCTCCACCATGCAGAGAACCTGCAGCCCAGAGATGACTGTGCTCGGGGGAGGGTGGTCCAAGAGAAGGCATTTATGCGCAATAAATGTTTAATTCCATCCAGGGCTTCTCCCGCAGCTCTTCACATCCAGGATTAGTTTATACATTCTACCCACATCATAATACCCTTCAGCAAGGTTAATCCTGTCCTAATGCAAGTTTAAAAATTAAATCCACTTCCATGAACAAATGTCCTACGCAGCCTCATCCCATTCTTTTATACAGAGTAAATATGTTTGCACAGCGCCTCGGGAACAGAGCTCTGCAGTGGATCGCACATGCCTTCTGCATGGCTTCCGGCCCTCCTCACCTGCCTCCTCACCACCCGGTTCATGCATTATATATGACAGCCCCAATCCACCCTCACCACTGCTCGGGCCAGCAGGCAACAGCTCGGCGGCACTTCTAAATCAAAAGCAAAGCAGATCGTGCACCAGTCCCCGGGAACAACAACAAAAAAAGCCAGGCAAGGATTTGGGAGTTTAAGAATGACTAGTTTTACTTAGGTGACAGCAAGCTTCTGGATTTTTCCTGTCTGTTCACAAGCTTTAAAAATAAACATGAAACCAAACAAGAACAACCACAAAGACAAAACAAAACCTCAGGAAAACAACCCTCTTTCCCTGACGTGTTTCCCCTGAGCTTCCAGAAGGTTAAAGTCACCTTTATTTTCTCTCCACCAAGCTGGGAGAGGACATTGTGAGATTTGTTTTCTGCACTGTGTCCTAGGGCTTGTAGACTCAATTAAGATATTAAAAATGAGACCCCAGTGTGCAGGCCTCCTCCGCGGTGCCCTGTCTTTGTTTATGTCTTCAGCGAGGAGCCCCGCACCAGCTCCTGTCCTGAGGACGCTGGAGCTTTCTAAAGGGGATTACCTCCCTCCTGAGACATAAATTCCAATTTACTCTGACACAAACTATTACCTTGCAAACAGTGGTCATCTGTCTTCAGGTGCCTGGTGGGTATTCCGTACCCGTGTTATTATCTCTGGGAAATTAAAACAGGCCTCGGGGCGAGGAACACTTCCTGCTGGGAGCCCAGTGTCTGTCTCATGGCCCCCGCTGACCTCCGGGCAGCTCCAAGAGCCAGTTTTTCTTCTCTGCGGCTGGCGCTACCAATGTCCTTGCTCTCACTCTCTGCCCCTCCCAAGAGCTGCTGAGCCTCTGGCACCTGGCCTAGCTGAAGGGGACTTTCTACAGGCCACTGTTGCCACCAGCAGTGGGGTCTTAGCAGGGAGGAAGTCCAGGGGGAGACAAGTAAGGGATGGGGCACCCACGATGCTGGACAAGACGAAACAGTACCCTCAAGGTGTTCCGTGTGGGGCCTCGCCCGAAGTCTGGGCCCAGTCTCCGGAGGTCAGGGAGGCCCGTCCGTCACCTTCCTGCAAGCACTCTTTTTCTTTAACACCTTTATGGAAATGTAATTCGCATGCCATAAAATCTACCCACCCAAGGTGCAAGCACGGTGCAGTGGCTGTCAGTGGTTTGCCCAGAGTCTAGCAGCTGTCAGCACACTTGAGTGTTTGGACATTTTCATCACCAGAAAGAAACCCTGGACCCTTAGCCTGGCCCTCCCCTGTGCCTGCTCCCCAGCCCCAGCCCTGGCCAAGGAGGGACCTTTCTCTATGAACTTGCCTACTCTGACATTTTGCATAAATGGGAAGATACGTATTGTTTGGCCTCCCCCACTTCGCACATCTTGAAGGTTTGCCAGTGCCGCGGCGTGAATCCAAATCTCTTTCCTTTTCATGGCTGCTCATATTCCACTGCGTGGCCAGGCTGCGCTGCGTTTATTCTTCACCAGCCAGTGGGCCCTGGGGTCACCTCCGCCTTGGGCCACTCCGCAGCTTGCTGCCACCAGCGTGACAAGTCTTCAGTCTCTGGAGTCGGCACCTGGGGCAGACTGCTGAGGGCGACTATTGAAGGAGCTGCCAGGCTCCTCCCTCCTCCTGTGCTGCTCCTCCTTGCCTCTGGGGACGAAGTGGCTGAGATAGGGGCAGGGTGATGCCTGGTACTATGCAGGAAGACTCTTGGTGGGGGAGGGGGCCAGGCAGCAGCAGCCCCAGACCTGAAGGACCCCCAGTCAGAGATGAGGGCATGGCAGACAGGGTGGGGTGGGGGTGCCTTTGTACCCAGGGTTGGAGAAGACTCAGCTAATCCCACCAGCAGGGTGGGGTGGGATGGCCTGAGGCTAGGGACGAGGGAACCCACGGGTGTGTGGACTCCTGGCATTATTCAAGGCAAGCCCTCGTTTCCTCTTCCCCTTAAGAGGAAGTGTCCAAAAGTGGTGGACAGAGGCCTTTCCTGAGCTCTAGGATGGACTTGGCAGGCACCCTCTCCCTGGGATCTGGGGAATAGCATACAGAATCCCAGCCAGGTCCAGCCAGGAGGGCGGCCCCCTTCCCATAGCTCTCGTCCAGATGAACAGGAGGGCAAGTCAGGCCCAGCAGAGGGATGGACGGGGACAGCCCAGCCAGGGGCCATGCCCAGGTCTGACGGGGCAATAGTGCACCCTGAGGCCAGGACCCAAGAGGAGAAGGGGGTCAGGCCTGGCTGGTGGGATCACAGAAAGAGGGTCACAGTGGGTGTCCCCCGGTCTGGAGAGCAGACGGCCACATGCTGTCACCCAGCCCAAAGCAGCTTGGGTTTGGGGCAGCCGGGCTCCTACCGTGTTAGGTGGCAGCATCACACCCTCATGGAATAATAAGCACTGTATTCCAATGTCCCGCCGCTGGGAAGGGAGTCAATGGCCCCAGAGGGGTGGGCACAAACCAGGCAGAAGAACCGCTCCCTCTGTGCCTCCGCCTGTCCCAGGCTGGGCCATGTCCAGACACAGACTTCAGCCCAGGCACAAGCCTCCAGAGTGAGCGAGCCAGTTGGTCAGGCTCCCAGAAGGGAGAGTGGGACAAGAGGGCCTTGGTGACAGCTGTCCCACACCTGCAGTAAGCAGGAGGCCAATGGGGTGGCTGAGAAACCCAGGGGTCCTGCTCACGGATTTAAACTTCCTGCTCAGGGTGAAACGTGGCGTCCACTCACTCAAGTGCCCAAGGCTAACCATGCACCGCCCAGTGGGGTGGCATCAGGTGCCAGCCCGGGCACGAGCACAACTGGGCTCCCTCAGTAATGAGGGAAGGAGCTGCCTGAGTTCCGCTTTTCTCTTCTTTCACCAGGGAGCACGCACCCCTTAGCCCTACTGTCCAGGGCTGCCTGCTGCTGAGCCTCACCCGGATGCAATGCAGTAATCAGCGCTCTGTGACACTGTCTCTCGCTTTCAAGCTCCCTTTGTAAATCCCAACAGTGCTTCTGCAGGAAGGCATCATTTGTTTTATGGCTGCCATGCAGGATGCCGTGGTACGAACTCCCCTGGAGGAGCCCCGCTCTGCAGGGGCTGCACAGCACGCCGCTGGCACTGTGGGGCTGCTTGCTCTTGCTCTTGGGCTCGGCTCTCTACCCCCGCCACACCTTTCCGTTCAGCAGAACAAAGCCGTGCTGTGCCGGCTACAGAGCTCGCCACTCACCGAGCGGTCCAGGAAGTAAAGCCAAGACGTTGTCCCACGGGGTTGCCCCCGTTTCTCAGGCACCCTCTCCAAAACCTGTATGCTCTGCTGTTGTGAAAATGCTCACCCCAGGGGGAACGAAAGGCGGTGCCCCGTGTGACTTCAGCTGTGTTTCTCCGGTGCTTCAGGAGGCTGAACGCCTGTTCATGTTCCTCTCAGCTGGAAGTTTCTTCTTCGGCTGGAGTTATGTTGCTGCTTTCTGCAGGGGGTTGATTTACAGGAATTCTTTTTGTTTTTCTTTTAAATGCGTGGATCTGTATTTATTTGTGTGAAAATGTCCACAATGTGCTTGTGGCAGATGAGATTTCAAAGAAGTCCACACACACAAAAACTCTGATAGTGCACGCTGACGTTTTATTTTCTTGTTTCTCCACGTGTGCGGTACCCAACACGCGGGCCTCCACACACCCCGTGTGGGGTCGGCACACGCACACACACCTCTCCATTCCTGTCTGGCCCCCTCCCCCCTCACTCCCCTCCTTCCGTCTCTTGATCCACTTCCTGTTTGAGAAAGATCTGTGTCCCTACTTCCTATTATCTGGCTTTCGTTGGCTCAGTCCTTTGTTCTGGATCGCAGCCCTCTCTCTCACTTGCGTCTGGCGAAATAGCCCCGTCCCCGGTGGCTCGTCTTCCCACTCTCTTGGTGGTACATTGCGAATGACGAATGTTCTTCATCTCTACGTTCCATATTCAGACTTCCTTTATGGTTCAGTGATCTTCTACCCTGAAGAAGATACTTCTGAGGTTGTTTGATATCTTATAATCGGATCTAAAGCTATTGTTTTTACCTTTCACATTGGGGCTTGTGATTCTCCTAACATTGATTTCTTTTTGTATGATAAAAGTCAAGTTCCCCTCCTTGTTTCCCGGCGAATGTCCAGCAGTCTGTGCCACGGTACTGAAAGGCCGTCATTCCCCGGCACCCTGAGCAGCCGCTGGTGCCTTGGGTCAAAGGTCACGACACCTGGCTTTGTTTCTGGGCCCCTGGGTCATTTCTGTAGGTAAACTGTGTCCATAGCCCACTGTATTAATTTCTGCAGCTTTCTAAATCATATAGGCATGGGGACGGGAGGGTCGATGTTCCTCGTTTCTGCTCAAGGAAGTCTTTGTTTTCACAGAAATCTTAAACCCACCTTGTCGAGGATCATACAGCTGGAATGTACTGGACCCTGTGGGAACCTCTGGGTCTGCTGGGAAAACTGAAGTCTTCCCAATCCCGAGTCCACTGCTCCAGGGCCGAAGGACAGACTTCCCATTTTCCCCGACTCAGGGAGTGCTGGGGGTGTTGACAGGGCACATGGGGGACATACGCTGTGAGACGGTTTCTCACCTCCTCTTGAGCAATTAGATGGCCGGTCGGAAGTAGGGCTCCCCTCGGCCATTGAGAAATTGTACCCAAGGCCAGGCCTGGCTCCCCTGCCCTATAAGTGCTGGGAGCATCTGCCAGACCACAGGCGTGGGCCTGCAGCTGAGCAGGGTCACCATGGCCCTGGGGCCCACCGTCCTGCTTGTCCTGCTCCTGTGTGTCCAGGACCTGACTGTCCAGGCTACCGACACCTGTCCAGGTGAGACGGACTCTCCTCCTCTGGCCCCAGGGCTGAGAGCTACCACCTACTGGCCACCCATCTTCTTTTCTTCCTCTTGCTCTTTTCCTTCCTTCCTTCCTTCCTTCCTTCCTTCCTTCCTTCCTTCCTTCCTTCCTTCCTTCCTCTTCTTCTCTTTTCTTCTTTCAATCCTAGGCTTCAATTCCAGGCCTTGGTACTTACAGCCCCAGCCCCTTTTTATTCTTTGAGACAGAGTCTTACTAAATCATCCAGCAGGACTTGAACTCACCATCCTCCTGCCTTGGTCTCCTAGAGTGCTGGGTGTCAGGCCTGTGCCACACACCGGCTCGCAGGCATCTTTTTGCAAAGGCTCTCACAGCTCCATGTCACTCCCAGACTGGGAGATGGAGATGCAGGGACCCTGAGTGGTACACACTCGGGCTCTCCGCGATCTGCCGGCCTCCATGCCTGTGACAGCTGCCCCACGGGGCTTGACAGACAGAGCCTGACACCTGCCCTCACCAAGAAGGAAGAAAGCAGAGCAGATTTTTCTACCTGCTAGTGGGCTTTGGAGGAAGCATTTGAGACTCCCCCATACCCCCCACATGTCCTCAGTGGCTGCCACACTTACCTGGGGTGTTCAGCAAAAGCACAGATGTGCCTTCCCGCCCCCAGATCCTGGTTCCATGCCATGGGGTACGGGAGCCTCCCTCTCTGGTCCTGGAGCAGGGAATTCCTGGGGTCACTTATTTATGGAAGAGACACACCTGGAGTATTATAGCTGCCCCCTTGGGCGGAAAGGAAATGTACCAAAGATGGCCCTGCCCATCTCCCAGAGAGACTTGCTCGACTCCATAGACTCCTGCAGCCTCCCAAGGGATGCACTTGCCTTACAACCAGCAACGTTTTTGCAAAGACTAATGATCTGTGTTTGGGCCCAGGTGTGGGCAGCTCACTCTGTTTCTTGGGTCACGCGTCCCCTCCCCAGCGTCCCAGGTGACCCTCCCCGGGCCAGTAATTCCAGGTGATCCCGAGGTCTAGGAGAGAGAATGCAGCACCGCCATCTCCCCGGGTCTCTTGAAACGTTGATTGCTATTTCCTGAGAGCAGCTCCTGCTTACAAAGCTCTTCTTCTCCAAGAATTACGCCAAGATCTTTCAACTTCGTGTTCTCCAACCTCACCCACCCCCAGCCCTGACCCCGTCCCCACTTGGAGCCACAAGACACAAGTTCAGAGTTCAGTGACCGGCCCGAGGATGCCCAGCACTGAGGCTGGACCCCAGGACGGAGGAGCTGGATCCTCCGGGGCAGGCTGACTCCCAAAGTTGGGGCTCAGCCCTGCACTTCCACCCCAGTGGCTGCCTGGGGTCCTCACCCGCCCTCCTGAGGAGGCAGGGCCCTGCCGATGGGTGGCTGTCTGTGGCTCTACAAGGCCTCTGGCCCAGGTGACCACAGTGACGGGGCCGTGTGTGTTCTCTGCAGAGGTGAAGTTGGTGGGCGTGGAGGGCACCGACAAGCTCGCCGTTCTCCGGGGCTGCCCGGGGCTGCCTGGACCCCCAGGGCCCAAGGGTGAGGCAGGAGCCAAAGGAGAGAGAGGTACGTGTGGGCCGGGTGCAGGGTCAGTAACAGGGCCAGAAGGACTCTCGTCCTTCTGCAGTGGGATACCTAGCTGGCCGCTGGCCCACTCGGGCCTGGCCGCTACCCAGGGCACTGAGAGAAGCAGACTTGGAGGTCCAGAGCATCTGAAGACGCCTTTGGAGGGAGTGTCGCCAGCGACGCCCTAGGAGCATTGGACACAGTTTCCCGCATTTGCCTCCCTGTCCTGACCCTGTGCCTGTGGCCCCTGACCCTCCAGAGGAGATCCATGGTGGCTTCCGGTCCTCTGAGCCTGGTGTGACCGGATGTGCATGGACACCCTCAGGCCTCTGCCTGGAGTGAGCTCCCAGTGCCTGGAGGTGTTCAAGGCAGGGTCTGGGCAGCCCTTGGTGGGGACAGGAAGAGCCTGGACGTCCTGTGACTTACCTGCCCTGTGAAGTGCCTGGACTTGTGCTCCCTGTGCACCTTCTCTCCAAGGAGGACTTGCCAGGCTGGGATTTCCGTCCCTTGGGCCCTGCGAGGCAGCAGAAGGAGGCTGTTCCCACTGGCAGCACGTCAGCCAGTACGAGGGGGGGTGGGATGCTGACCCCACTTCCAGTGCACCATTGATGTCTCCTGCTACTGCGTGCTGATGGCCCCCCCAAGCAGGAAATGATGGCCACGGGCACCGTGAGGGTAGAGTGGGGCTGGTGGGCACCCTGGCTGCCTTCCTGGGGCCAGGGGCTGCTACCCCCAGCCCTAGGTTGCGTCTGTGCAGGAGGGGAGGGCCTAGCTCAGGCTCAGGCACACGTGGTGGCTGGAGCAGAGGACTGAGGGTCCCTGACCCCACAGGAGCCAGCAATACCGAGCTGTGAGGCCGTGTGGTCAGAGCCATCACGGAGGGCTGCGTACGCACATTCCAGCCTCCCCACATCCAGGCCGCACACAGGACCACCTCCTCCTGCCTGGGATCTGCTGAGGATGAGCGCTCCCTGAGGATGTGCTCCTCACCCTGGGACCTGGCCCTGAGTGGACAGTCCAGTTCCAAGAGGACGACATGGCCCTAGGCTTTGTGTCAGAGGGGGTAGGGGGATGGAGGGCTGGATCCAGGCTGCAGCCAGAGAACGGAGCAGGTCGGGAGAGCTCCCTGCCAGAATCCCGGCTCCTGGTCAGCCATCTGGGGACCAAGCCTGCATCCACACCACCTGAGGTCCCTGTCAGGCTCAGCCCTGGCCAGGCCAGCAGCTCTGAGGGCAGTGGGACCTAGAATATCAGGAGGGTGGGAGTTCACAGCATGGGGGGGGGTAGATTTTGGGGCAGGATTGTGGAGGGGAGTTTTTCTCAGGGGATCCTGTCTGGAATTTGCAGGAGAACGAGGCACCCCTGGACTCCCTGGCAAAGCAGGACCGCCTGGGCCCAAAGGTGACCACACTGCAGCATGGGGAGGCACCTAAGGATCCGGGGGTTGGGAGACAAGACTGCAAGGTCCCCACCGTGTCCCAGGTTCAGGGTTCCCTCCCTGGCGGGAGTCGGCAGGCAGCACGACGAACAGGGGCCTGACCACCCCAGTGGCTGCTGCCCACTGGGGTGGCAGCGCTGCCTCGGGGGTGACGAGAGGGGACAGGGTCTGGGTTGGCCTCAGCAGATATGACCATCTTACCTTCAGCTTCCATTCTCTGCCTCTCTGCAGGGGACCAAGGGGTCCAAGGGATCCGTGGAGAGAAAGGTGAGCCTTCTGCCCACAGCCCCGGAGCACCGGGCGTGCTTTGTCCAGAGCTGGCTTCTCGAGGCCTCCGCCAAGCCAGTGCCACCCTGGGGGAGGATCCCCAAGCCCCCTCCTGGGCAGCAGGTGGGAGGGTGGCAGGGACCTGGGCACAGCTCCCAAAGGCTCCCCTGTGAGCGTCTACCAGGGCCCAGCCGGAGGGACTGGCAAGATGGCATTGTTTGGAAGTGTGGGCTTTGACTGGTGGGAATTCTTATCTCCTTTATTTTAAAAAAATTGTAAAATCAGCGTAAGATACAACAGAAGATACAGTCGCATGCTTTGTCTAGAAATAAAAGCTGCAAGATTAGGGCACAGACCTGAGTCCCTGGAGCCACACCACACCACGCGGCCTTTCATTTAGACACTGGGAGGGGTGGAGATGGGCCGACATGGGTTTGAGAGTCACTACTCCTCCCTGATGGGTACCTGAGGCTCAAATTAATAGCCATGGAGTGCTCAGCACCAGCCTCGGGGAACAGCCAGGCAGCAGGGCCAGAGGACACTGATGCCAGTGTCTCTTCTTTTCCCGAGCAGGAGATGCTGGGTCTTCTCAGTCCTGTGCTACAGGTGACTGTGCCAGCCACCCCATGCCTGAGCCCAGCCTGCCCTGGCCAGCTGGGCAGACCTGTGATCCGAAGTCCAGGATAAACCTCTGTCCATACATCCATCCGTCACTTGGTGACCTGGACACCTGGCAGCCACTGCGTGATGACTAGCCCTTTCATAGAGGCTTTTCGGGGAGAAATTATGCTCCACCTGTGGCCTGGGGGTGGGGAGAGGATCCTGGGTCCAAGGCATACGGCTGGCTCAGGGCCACCTCCCAGCTCTTTTCTGGTCCCATCCCCAGGGCCTCGGAATTGCAAGGAGCTTCTCAGCCTGGGCTACTTCCTGAGCGGCTGGCACACCATCTACCTGCCTGACTGCCGGCCCCTGACCGTGCTCTGCGACATGGAAGTGGACGGTGGCGGGTGGACCGTGAGTGTCAGGATGGGGTCCTCGTGCAAAAGTGAGCAGCCAGGAATCTCAGAGAACAGGCTCAATGGCCAGCAGGGAGCAGACTCTGAGAGTCTGTGTTCCCCTCTGCAGCTCGGAAAGATTCCCGCCTTATAGAGGCAGGGAATCTGTGAGTTAGAGTCCAGGTCCTTGGGCCAAGAGGAAGCCCACCACTGTCTTGCTGTGTGGCTTCTGGCTGGTTGCCTGCCCTTTGGAGTCCTCCATGTCCTCCCCTATCACGTGGGATCTATGGTGAGACACCGCTCAGGGGCTCCGTAGCTCTCAGTTCCTGTCCCCACGCTGCAGGGCATCAGCCTGGCCTCTTGTCCCCCAAGTGCCCTGGTCACCTTCCCCAGGTCTTCCAGCGCAGGCTTGACGGCTCTGTGGACTTCCTTCGGGACTGGGCCTCCTACAAACGGGGCTTTGGCAGTCAGCTGGGGGAGTTCTGGCTGGGGAATGACAACATCCACGCCCTGACGGCCCAGGGTAAGCAACACTAGGTGGGCATGGGAGCCGTGCGAGCCTAAGACCCCACATCTGGGCAGAAAGGCCCAGTGCTTGGCCAGGGCGATTAGTCTGGGCACGTGCAGGGGCACAACTGTGATCCCCAGGACAGGTGCTCGCTCCTGTGGCCACCCCAGAATGTGAGGATCAAAGGAGAGGACGTGGGGTGAGGTCTTGTCCAGCCATGTGCACTGCCGCCCTCTCAGGACCTGAGATAAGAGGGAAGCAGGGGCCACCAGGACTTGGGGACACCCTTGGCATCTCCAGCTGTCTGTCCATCAGGGACACTTGGTCTCCCCTCTTTGCCTCCTCCAGCTTGCTTGGCAAACCCCTCCTAGCCTTCCTCACTGGGGCAACCCCCGCCAGGGGCTCAGGTGGGAAGTGGCGGGTACTTTCTCTTCTCCACAGCCCACGGCCTCCTCCATCTCGTGCTCCCCTCCCCATTTGAGAGAGGGCTATCTCCCTACTTCCCACTCTCTGCCTTTTATTTTGTTCTTTCTACTGTGGGTTTCTCATACAAGAGAAAGCACGTACTATGTCTGACTTATTTCACCTAATATGGTCTCAAGGTGAGGCCATTTTCCTACAAATGATTGCGTTATCCTTCCTCACAGCAGAGTAGTACCCTGTGTGTAAATACCTCGCTTTCTTTATCCTTCCATCTGTTGATGGGCAGAGAGGCCACTTCCAAGGTTTACTCACTGAGTTGTGCGGTTCTGAACATGGACGTGCGTGGATCACTGTAACGCGATGTCTTTAATTCTTTCGGGAGGACGCTTGCCAAAGCCTGGCACCTGGCTCCCTGTACCCTCAGAGTAAAGCGAGCCTATTCCACTGACTGACAGCCAAGCCGGGTCTTCAGGCAAGGCGTGGGAAGTGGGGAGGATATTTAGACACGGGGAGCCCTTGGGGCCCCGCTTCCGCCCACGATGTTCCTGCCTCTGGCTGAGCTTCTTCTGGCTACCAAGCGCAGACAACACCCACTCTCGTGGCGGTGGCAGGAGGGTCTCGGAGGCTGAGCCCCAGGGGTTTCCCACAGGCAGCAGCGAGCTCCGCGTAGACTTGGTGGACTTTGAAGGCAACCACAGCTTTGCCAAGTATGACTCCGTCAGGGTGGCAGGCGAGGCGGAGAAGTACAAGCTGGTGCTGGGCGCCTTTGTCAAAGGCAGTGCAGGTGAGTGTCCGAGCAGAGGCCTGGGCTCCGAGCTCAACACCTCCATGCCTTTACTGGTCCGTGGGATGCGATCAGATAAGCCCCAAAGCTGTGTCCACCAACCCAGGGACATTCTTGCCCAGAGGGACTCAGGCCCATGGTTCTGAGGGCACTGCCTCCAGGGCACTGGCTGGGGCATTGCCAGGCACCACTCACCAGAGCCTCTGGGAGCTGCTGGACACGAAGCCCACATAACTGTGCTGAGCCCGGAGCTGTGCGGGGCAGGCGGCTCCCTGGGAGCTTTCACCACGGCACCCTGGACTTCGTGCTTCGGGTCCTCTGGGGCTCCCAGGAAGGAGGCCGGCAGAGAACCTCCTCCCATCACAGGTGGAAAAGCTGAGGCTTGGGCTAAGCCGCTCACCTGCAGGAGAGACGGGTAGGCTTTGTGCCCACAGAGATGGACCGGGGGCATGCAGGGTGCAGGATTCAGAGGGACGGAGCAGGTGCCAGCTGCCCAAGGCAGGGCAGGACCTCATCTTTCCTAAAGCCAGGAGGGTGCCCATCGAGGCAGGGTTCTGCAAGGCCTGGTGAGGCCGGGCACATCCAGCGTCCAAGGAGCCACGTTTTCCCTGAGCAGGAGACTCCCTGACGTCCCACAGCAACAAGTTCTTCTCCACCAAAGACCAGGACAATGACCAGAGCGCTGCCAACTGTGCGGAGCAGTACAGCGGGGCCTGGTGGTACGGGGACTGCCACGTGTCCAACCTGAACGGCCTCTACCTCAGAGGTCCCCACGAGAGCTATGCCAATGGCATCAACTGGCTTTCGGGAAAGGGGTACAGATACAGCTACAAGGTGGCGGAGATGAAGCTGCGGCTCACCTAGCTCCGAGTGGAGACCCCTCCGCCCTCGGGGCAGAGGCTGCTGTGCGACGCAGCCACAGCAGAATCGTTGGGGCTCCGTCCCCAGGAAGGCGCTGCCCCGCCTCCTGCTGTGTGCCCTTTGCCCTGCAGCCCCATCCACCCTCCGTGCCAAAGCCCGCTTGCCCCACCCGTCTCCCCCACCGGAGAGGGAATTATGTTTCCAAAACACGTTTGTCCGGCAGACATGTGGCTCTTGTTTTAATTCATATTTCTCAAACATTGGTGCTTGGGGCTACACCCCTTCGTCCACCTTGTGGGGCGGGGTTTCTCGTGAGCTTACAAAGTCCCAAGAGTGAGGGGCGCACTCTGTGGACGGGACGGGGGCGTTGATGCTGGGGGAGATAAACGCATGGCCCAAGTCCGTCCACCTCCAGCTTCAAGCTTCGGCCACTGATGAGAGGTGAGCCAGCCTTTCCCAAGTCTCCCGGTCCCTGTAGATCATCACATATCATTTAAAAAGTCACCTCAGGCTGGAAAACTCCTAAAAAAATGGAGAGGGAGCTGGGTAGAGCCTGGCTCCTGAGTCCGCACTTGGGGCAGCCGCCACCCCCGCCTGCACCCAGAAAAGCCTGCACAGCAGAGTCCAGGGAGCAGGTGTAGGCCACACTGGCCCTGGAAGCTGCAGGGGCCCTGCCGTGATACCTCAGCCCAGGCCCTGCAGAGCAGACCCCCAGGGTAGGGAAAGGCTGGCAGGTGCTAGTAAAGAAGTCCCAGAGAGTCGCTCCCTCTGCAGCCCACGTGCCCCGAGCTGTCCACCTCTGCAGCTGACCACCACTTGGGTAGCGGCTTGAAACAACACACTTACTACTATGGTTCTGGAGGTTCGAAGTCCCTGGCCTTGCGGGGCTACAGCCAAGCTGTCGGCAGGGCCGGCCCTGTCAACAGGCCCTGGAGAGGGTCCATTCCCTCCCCTATTCTGCTCCTAAGGACAGCCCGCTGCCCTTAGCTGGGGTCACTGCGTCTGGCTTTGAAGCGTCCTATCTCTCTGAGCCACTTTTATTTTCACTGCACCTCTGACCACAGCTTGCAGGGCGCCCACTGCTAAGAGCCCTGGGCTGAGACTGCAGTCACCTGGGTAAGCTCAGGGTCTGCAGCCCCCATCACGCCATGAAGTTTGTCCTGGAAGTTTCACAGGTTCTGGGCACAAGGGCAGGACACACCACTCTCTACACAACCTATTTAAAATTAAAAAGCACAAGCTCCTCTCTGAAAGAATTCCTGTAAGTAATAGTAAATATGTAGGGCAGGGAAGGACAGGGAGGCAATGGGAATAGGAAACATCGAAATACGGCATGTGCACGTACGAATGTGCCCAGACCCACTGTTCTGCCGGCCAGTGTGCACTGGTGAAACATATCCACACAGGTATCGCAGCATCCGCTCGGGGACAAAATGGGTACTAAGGCCTTGGGGTGTAGCTCAGTGGTAAAGCGCTTGCCTAGCATTCACAAGGCCCTGGATTCCATCTCAGGTACTGCAAACCAAAACCACAACAAAACAAACAACAATAAAAGGCATAAGGTTTGGACGGACACCTCACAGAAGATGATATCCAGTATATTTATTAAAAAGGCCCAATATATTTACATTTATAAGAAAGTGCCAATATATTTACATAAAGGACCAGTATTCAATTTCAAAAGGCTCTCATCGGATTACTTATGAGAGAAGTGTGAATTACAGCCAAGATGAGGTGCTGCTACCCTCCCCCCCAGAAGCCTCCCAGGAAGGACTGAGAACCCCACATGGGGCTGGCCGGGCCACTCTGCAGGGCCAGCCCTGTTGGACATGGTGGTCGGCCACAGCCGGGCTAGCGCATGGAGAGCTGAGGACTCACGTCTCATACCTATGCTGGTTCCTGAGGGGCCAGGGAAGCGCCCTGCGTGTGCACATAGTCACGACTGGAAACATTACAGCCAGGCTACTCACAGGAGCCCCAAAGTGGATCAAACCACAAGTCCACTAGGAGAGAACGGATGGAGACCGCATGGACACCCATTCCCGAGAATGCCCCACAGCAGTGAAGATGAAAGGTCTGTGCCACATACCCTAAGCCTCATGCAGTTGGTTCCACAACAGATGAGCACTTTTTTGCAAAAGAAAAATAACCTATAGTATTTCAGATTCATACTTATGTGATAATGTCACTAGGCTTTAGGGTAGTGGAGTCTTCTTCTAAGGTGGTTTCCAGGTGGTTTTCTTTTTGTCCTGGACAAAGACTTGGTCAAGACAAGCACAAAAGGTAGAGAGGTTTTATGTTTATTATAGGTGTGCAAAGAAAAGACACATGCTCTGCAGAGCGAGTTCCAGCCGACTGCAAGTAGGAAAGAAGTTTACTCTACAGGGTGTGAATGGTCTGCTGTGAAACAATGTACGGTGGCCGTGAGGAAAATGCAGGTGTCTTTGGTGTCTCCCACTCCTCAGGCTGACTAGGTCTATGCCATCCTATTAAAATCCTGCTTGGGTTCTTGCAAGAAGAACTGAAGGTAGCACTCTCTGATTGGTTCCCTGTGCAGAGCTTTGAGAACTGCTCTGCTCATGTCCTGGGACATTGTCACTGACAGGTCACACCCACTTCCCCAGCCAGTTCTCCCAGCCCTGCTCTCCTTCCTCAGTAAATGCATACAAGGGAAATAAGAAGAGGATTGCATTTGCGGGAGGGACAGGGGGGTGACAGGGAAGGGACAGGATGGGAACACTGGTCTCAGCAGTGCCCTGACTCTTGACTGGGCAGTGATTAGAAGCATGTTTTCTGGAAAGTGATAAAAATCATGCTTTGCACTTTATACATTATGTGTCTGTGCTATGCTCCATGATTCTTAGAAACTATTTTTAAAGTAATGGGCATGGTCAGGTCCAGGAATGTGAGCTGCATGCACATCTCTTGTGTTCCAACGTCCTCGATGACCAGAATCTGTTTGGTCCTGGCCATAAACTCTATAAACAGTTAATATGATCAAAACCATAGAATTATAGCTTTTACATTATGAAATATGGTCAGGCTTGATATTTCATAGTCTTATAATGTTTACAGAATTTTGCCTATTACAAAGAAAATTTCACAAATCCAATCTTGAAATGCGTAATTAAGTAGCTGATTTAGTCTTATAATCTTAGAGCATTTATGTACAGTATTGGAATGTGCTAGAGATTTTGGGTTTATTGCATTTCAAGGTTGAATTGTTAGACTTCTAAAAATTAATTAGTTACTGGAAATGTTTTGTTCAGTAGATAGAAAAAATGCCTAAGGAGGAATTTGAAAGCATTACACTCACTGTTATAGTGTAAATGTTTGGTGGTATTTGATGAACTAAACTTGTAGTACTCAAAAGCCCTGAAAAGGTGACTATTAAAATTTGCAAGTTTGCAGTGCAACAACCAGTGTTGATTTGTATTAATCTGTCTTGAGGCCCTGTACAACTTTGAATGCTCTTGCTTCTGTGTGTTTATGTTCGTGATACTGGTATGCTGCTACTGTTCTATTGTTTTGTTTGTTTGTTTCTCATGTACTACTCTCTTTAAAATAAAATTTTAAAAAACTTTGCAAGTTTCATAACAATAGTAAAACAAGGTTTGTAAGCCAAACTTGAAAGACAAGGGAGGAGCTCAGTGCTTGGACTTGCAGCTTTCAGAGACTAAACATGAATTTTAAGCAGCCACAGTCAGATGCGACAGGTTCCTCCCAGAAGACACTTCACAAACCTCAGAGACTGTCGGAGCCTCTTGGCCTGCATGATTTGAGGATGGATAAAGTAAGTGCAAAGGCAGTGGCCTTCTTGCTGCAGGTCAGTACCACCCTCCCCAGCCCCAGGTGTTCCTGAACATCAGCAGTGCCGGCACGGTCCTCCCAGCACGGTTCTGACGCAGGGGACCCACACTCAGCATTGCTTCTGTCTGCATTTCTCTCCTTTCTGGCCTACTTTTGTACGAGTTGATATTTTTATTACCCCATCCCCCTCCCTATTAGCTTGTAGTCAGTCTGTTCTCTTCCTTTTCTACAGTGCTTATGCTTGTGATTGCAACACACATGTACACTTGACTCGGTGCCCTTTAATATAGATCTTTTTTTGGTTGTGCAAAACTATAGCATTTACAAAAATGGCACAAAAGCAAATTCATCCTCCAATGCATATGCATACTTCATTCATATCTTACAAGGAAAGTGCTCTAACGTTACAAAACTGAGTACGAATGCGGGCTTTACGGCAGCTGGTAAGCACTGAAGTTACACCAGAAGGGCAAATAGTGCCCAAGTGAAATGCTACTGTTAAAGCTGAAACAGGTTTAGGGCCATTTAAGTTCATACAAACCGTTCAGCGTTCCCCCTCTTTGCGTTTGATTACATCACCTTTCTTCTAACTTGTGGTCTTAAACTTCTCTTTTATAAAATCCAAAAGGAAAATGCAGAAGAAATCACACAGTAGAAGTTTCGTTAAATGGAGCAGCACACAAAGCTATCACTGAGATGAGAGCAGAGCAAGCACAACTTGCACAACTTGCTTGTTACTTGCTCAAGCCAGCTCTGCACTAGGGGTTAGATTATATTCAAATTCCGTCTACCTTTGTAATCTGAAAACGTCATTGTTTGCCTCATTTCATACAGTGTTTTCGTTTGATGGAGACTGCCTCATTGACAGTTGTTTTCTCTTGCCACTTTATTTTTATTTTTTTTAACTTATTTTCATAGTCTAAAGGTTGGAACCTGGGGCTTCAGGCATGCTGGATGACTACCCTTCCAAGGAGCTACATACCCAATCAGAGCACTTTACCTCCATCATTTCTACACTTGTTTCCTCAAGAAAGTTAGCTAAGAGCCTTGCTGCTTCTCTAAAGGTAGGATGAGCTTTTTTCCACTCTAAGAGATTGCATTTCTACTGCTGCATTTCTCAATTCTAAAATTTTCCTTTGTTTCCCTATTGTAGCTCCAAGTACTTTGATGAAAATGCTCCCATTTGTTTCAAGAGTGTTTGGCTTTACTTCTTAAAGCACGGTTAGAGTAGTTGCCTTGAAGTCTGATGCTTCTAATACTCGGTCATGTCAGGATTTGTACATGCCAGTTGCCTTTCTCTTCAGAGTTGCTTGTTTTCTTGATTCTTTGCATCCTTTGCACAGTATTAGATTGTGTCCTGAGATTTTGAATGCTATGCTATGAGGCTCTGGGTCCTTTTCAAACCCTCTGGGAT